CCTGCCAGACCTGACACACTCACTGCATGTAATGTATAGCTAAGATGGGTATTAATCTGCAAATAAAAGTGTGGAAGGACTTCAATAGAACTGACACAGTCACTGCACGTCATGTGTAGCTGGCCATCAAAAAGCCTGGTGTGATGGAAACATGACAGAGGTTTGGCCATGTACCTATAATATGATCATACAGGAAAGCAAATTGTCCAACCCAAACAAATAGGTACCTCTCAATTGTAGGACTGAGGCTAGTGAGGCTAATTAAGTGGGCTGGTAGTGTCTCCTCCTTCCCTTTTGATGTAATAATGAAGTTGGTAGAGGTAGTGGACACTGGCTGTAACAGGCAATACCAAGTTAATGACTTTGATCAAGCCCAGGGAACTAGGGTCGGGTTTGCAGATGAATGTCAGTCCCACACTCTCTCTCTGTGATCGACTGCTGAAATTGAAGTAGAAAAATCCCTATTTCCTGTTTCTGGTGACGTTCTAGGTATTCAAGTCTTAATGTGCTCCCTCTAAATATGTTTGATGGCCAAACAGTCTGGAAGTAGATATAGATTTACATGTTTAGGGTTCCCATTGTGTTTGTAGTTCTGCAGTAGCTATTATAACGTAACAGAGAGGGAAAATGTCATGATCTGCTCTAGTGAAATTCGGTTTGTTACCTTTGTCATGTGTGAGAGGAAACAACGTGTGGGAGAGAAGTGTGAAGATTATCACCCGACCAGAGATGCTAATGGGATGATCCAACTGTGAAGAAGACAGCGTTGTAGATGACTGCGTGTCAATCTGCCCTGTTTGGATAATCCAGGACACTGAGGGACAGGGTGAGGATTTAACTACTTGGACAAGATATTTTTTATTTTAATCAGTTTAGCCTGGTAGCACAAAGATGAGAAGGAGCAAGGGAAACCACAGGTGACAACAAACTTCCTTCAGAAAAGGAACATGATACTGCAAAACTCCCTGATCCTAATGAAGGAAAACTGCTATGGAAAGAAGATACTTTTCCATAATTTTGGGGGTACCTCCTGCCAAAGACTGGAGCATCGGTCTGCACCGATAGACCCCCCCCCCATTGCCCCGTTCATAATCAATTTGGCTGGTCTTGGAAATGAACTGGGGGTGTATGGGGAGATTTTGGCAAATCCAGTAATGTGCCTGAACCACCATAACTTACTGTTTGAACTTTAGCAACCAAGCTAACAGGCCCCAAAGCGGTCTAGACAGCATGACCATGTCAGGGAGGGAGACGAAGGGGAGTCTGGGTGCCACAGAGAGGGTAACTTCACCCCTTGTATTCCTGAGGTCCAAATGTCTAGTGAAATCGCCGAGCTGAACATTTAGAGAAACAGGAAGTTTGTCTAGATGCCCTAAGACATAGATCTGTCTGGGTCCCCATGCATGAAGTCTCTGAAAAAGAAAAAACTCATCTGGGGAAAGTGATGATCAGAAGAAAATTTCTTGCCTCAGCTTTAAAAGGTGCTTGCCTAATAAGATTTTGGGTGACATATTATTGTACTACTACTGGATAAATAGGGAAGCAAAGTTTGAGGTAGTGGGACAATTTTGGGGAATACTTGGAGGGATGCCACGAAGACTCCTTGAGGTCTTTTCACATCTGAACGCATCTTCATCCCCACCGGCAGACAGAAGATTGGCCATCAGAAGCCAGCCTGGTGTCACTCGAGAACCACTCTGAAGTTCGGTAATTCCCGAGAGTGGAGATGTTTTAGTAAACTGTTGCGGACATGTGTAACTGCTTGAGACTAAGTAAAGTTTAGCTGTAAGTGAAAGAATTTTTCTGTTGTCCTGTTTTTACCATCTATCTATCAGTTGGACGCTCATGTCTCCCCTGAATTATTTCCTGATACCACCTCGTGGAGAGTAAAAGTTACTGAGAGGTTGGGTTGAAAGAACCCCAGGTAACAGTGGAATAGGGTGTGTGTTTGTCTGTCTAGGTATGTCCATGATAAGTGCTTTCCCATTGTATTTACAGTCAACCTGGCCTATTGCTTTTTTCCCTGTAACGGATTCCACCCATTTGCAAGCGCCCTCTGTGGCTTAGGGTGTGAGGTAAGTCCTTTGCCTTGCTGTTTTGTACTTGGTAGCTCCCTGGGTCACTTCCCCTGAAGACTGCCCTGTCTGGTCATCACAAGGTTCTGAGGCCAGGATCTCACAGTTCTTATATTCAGCTTGTGACCATTGTCAGCCACTGGACCTGGGCCTCCCCAAGCTATAGAGTTCAGGTTACATGTGGAGCTGTCCATGGTGCTGCTTTTCTCCCCCTCAGTATATAGATCTGTCTGGGCCAAGCTCCTATGAGGAACTGCTGAGCCCTAGGCCACCATGTTCTTTTAATCTGCTCTGCTGGGCCCTGATTAGCTGATGAGGAGACCACCACTCTCTCCAGCCCGGAGGACCTCTCTTCTGCTCCTCTCACTAGGATGTGGTGTGGCCAGGCCTCCGGCCAACTGAAAGGAGCTTCCGGACCTAGTCCTCCCCATAACCGACTCCTCCCCCAAATATCCCATGTACTTCCTAGAAGCAAAAAACAGTTGCTTTGTACAAGAATGGCTACTTTTCAGATACATAACTTGGTTGCTGATATTTCTGATCATCTCAAGAACTGGGTTTTGCCTGTGAAAGCTCATGATAATTTAAAGAAATATGTATTATCCTTTAAGGAGCCAAGGACTAAAGCTTCTTAAATATATTGAAGTTTGTGAGGTATTCGCAGTTGCTACATTGATGAAGGTCAAAGAAAGATCCATCAACATTTTCCACCCTGTGATGAGACAGGCAAGTCTAGCTACGCACACCCAGATATGGACAAAGGGAGGCAGCAAGAATTTAAAAGCCACATTTTCATATCTGCCCATTAGCGCTCTGAATGCGTGACGGCTTTTAAAAATGCAGCTTTTAGAGAGTTTGACTAGTGAGGGAACTGCATGTTGTCGAGACTGGAGGATTTCCTTCGTTCAAACAATTCCTCCATTCTTCAAGGAATATCCCAATGGAACATGGGAAGTGAAAATAAAGTTGCAAACAAACATTCTTCACTTTAAAACAATTTTTATTGATGATGCAGAGAAGGTGAGGTGGGCCCAGGAGTGAAGAATGTATTTCCCTTTCCTTTGAGCATCAGCAAACACTGGCACATCATATAGGTTCTGTAATTTTATCAAGAGACGCTAAGATCCCCATGTCTGGGAGTGGGGAGACTCCAGTCCCTTAGCCCATGGGTACCAAGCAATAGAAACGGTTTTGAAATGCAAAGCTCTACTCATCCCTGACATAACTGTCCCATTGCCCTAACATAGTGTGATGGAAATTACGTCTCTCCTTCTCATGCCAAGACACAAAACAGGGCACAATTGTTACAAGAACTCCACAGAACACAGAAACGGATAAAGAGTAGCAGGAAGATGTAAAAACTCCCTTTGCTTCACCCATACAATTCAGACATGTCACCCTTGGAACTGCTCAATGGAATCAAAAGCGCTAGAAAGAAGAGAGGTCTAGATTTGATGCCCCCTCATCCAAGGAGAGTCAGATCCCCGTTTTGAAAGCACATCACCTAGGTTTTTATTTGCATACAGAGGCAGTAGCTGAATGCAGCCCTGATCTCAGGTAAGACCTGCATCCTCTGTTGGAATACAGACACATGTACAGTAACAAGATAATAATGAACAATACCACCATGGGCTCTGCAAAAAGACATCATTGTAGGGTGGGAACTGAATTCATCTGCTTCCACTGCCCATCACTCAGCCAGCACTGGGATGAGCACAATCAAGACTTGGTTACCAGTTTATTCTTTGCTTTCCTTAGGGCGTCCTTCACCTCCCTGTTCCTCAGGCTGTAGACGAGGGGGTTTAACATGGGGATGGCTACTGTGTAAAACACAGAGGCTGTTTTACCCATGTCTACGGAACTGCTGGAGATGGGAAGGAAACACAAGTAGACTTGCGTGCCGTGAAACATGCCCACTGCACACAAGTGGGAGGCGCAGGTGGAGAAGACTTTGTACCGGCCCTCAGCAGAGCGGATCCGCAGGATGGTGGAGATGATACAGACATAGGAGAGGAGAATGGTCACAAGGCTGATCACTACAGTGTAGCACATGGAAGCAAGTATCACAATCTCAGTGGTATGGGTGTCAGAGCAGGAGAGGGCCAGCAGTGGCAGGGAGTCACAGGAGAAATAATTGATGATGTTTGAGTCGCAGAATGACAGTCGAAACGTAAAACACGTCAGTATCAGGGAATCCACCAACCCCACAGCAAACACCCCAGCCACCAGCTGGTTACAGCGCTGTCTGGACATGATGACCGAATAGAGCAGTGGGTTACAGATGGCCACGTAACGGTCGTACGCCATCACGGCCAGCAAGAAACACTCCATATCTACACAATGAACAAAGAAATACATTTGCACAGAGCAGGCAGTACGAGAAATGCTTTTTCTCTCAGCTAAGAAAATCTGCAACATCTCAGGGACAATCACTGAGGAATAGCAGAGATCAGAGAAAGACAAAATTCGGAGGAAAAAGTACATGGGGGTGTGGAGTCGGGCGTCAATAGTGATTAAGAAGATCATCCCCCCGTTTCCTACCAGGGTGACAACATAAATCAGTAGGAACAACACAAACAGGGGGGCCTGCAGCTCCGGACGGTCTGTTACTCCTGAGAGAATGAAGTAAGTCACCTCTGAGTGATTTCCTTCTTCCATCTCCTCTGAACTGAGAACAGGCAGGTCCAGGGATGTGGGCAGGTGGATGGATACGGAAACGTGTCCTTTCAGTGTTATGAAGTAAGTGATGAAGAATGGAGGTCAGTTTTTAATAGGTAGCATTACGAGATGACGGAAGGACTTAGTTCATAGAGCCAGATGTTCACAGCTGGACTTTGCACTTGTTCATCAATTTCACACACCGTACACATACAAGGACACAGCTTAATCATCCCCCACACACAGAAATGCTCCTCTTCTCTAGTCTGAGCAGCAAACAGCGACTTGTAACTTTGTTGCGGGAGAATGAGGGTGAAACCATCTGTGTCTAACGAGATCATTGCTTAGCTCATGAAGGGCTGAGAGTAAACGAGTGTGAATCTCTTCACCCTCCCTGGGCAATGGGAGGTCTGTGGCTCGGCATGTCGATTTCGGGTGAAACTTGCTCCTTGTGATAATCAAGCTCTTTGGAATCTGATAACGGCATTTACATTACTCTGTATAAAACCCTTAGATGTAAAGAAAGGAAGGCATCGGCTTCTATGACCAACTAATCACCTATTTTTTGCAAGCAAATTTGTCATCCTTTAGCACAATAGGCAGGAGCTGGGACTTCTGTCAGAGACACTGTCCATGTGGGTGTGTGACTCTGACGCAGGACAACAGCAAGTACCTGCGGACAGCAGAGAGACGTGGCGCGTTTCTCCATTGATAGAAACTGACCCTTTGGTACAATTAGGAGGTTTTATTCTGAAATATGTGATCTATGGGAGAAGATTAATGGAGCCACTGGGAATATCTGAGCTCAGAGAGACACAACAACAAATTAATGAGCTCAATGAATCCCAGCCATGGGACTGATACCCTGGGAATTAATTTGGTGCCTTTTTTCCTCCTGCGGCAGTACGTGATGCAATTTGTATCAGGGTTGCAGAGTTGATGCCTGAGGGATATTTCATTCTGCTCTTGTCACTACAAGCTGGGTCCTATGTAGAGCTGACTCAGAAATTGTGTGTTTGGTGAGACCAAAGCTGAAAACTTAACATTTCAACTCAAAAACAAAACACATGTGGCTGCGTCTAGACTGGCAAGTTTTTGCACATAAGCAACTGCTTTTGCGGAAAAACTTGCCAGCTGTCTACACTGGCCTCTTGAATTTGCACAAGAACAGTGACGATCTAATGTATGATTGTCAGTGTTCTTGCACAAATACACTGACGCTCCCACTCTGGAAAAAACCCTCTTGTACAAATGCTTTTCCGCAAGAAGGCCGGTGTACACAGGTAAGAACTGTTTTCCGCAAAAAAGCCCCGATGACGAAAATGGCGATTGGGGCTTTCGTGCAGAAAATCACGTCTATATTGGCCATGAATGCTTTTTTGCAAAAGCATCCGTGCCAATCTAGACACTCTTTTCCGCAAATGCTTTTAACGGAAAAACTTTTCAGTTAAAAGCATTTGCGGAAAATCATGCCAGTCTAGAAGCAGACAGGGGGTTGCCCCAGGCACCACATCCTATCTTCTCTGCCATGGTACAGGCTCCCAGGCTGGAATCCATCCCTTTAATGCATGATGGTCTGCTCTCCTGCCATACTGCCCTGGGACTTCACTAGAGTTCCCAGTCTTACCAAACTCTGACTGTGGGATTTGCTGTTGTGATGGGAAAGAATTCCATGGAAATCTAATTGAAATGAAAATCCAACTTCGCACGTTAAAAAAATCTCATAAAGAAAAACTTTTGAGCTGGCTTGTGCGCCAGGTTAGGAAATAAAAGTACAAAAAAGGCCCGTCTCCAGATGTGGTTGGCCTGACTTCCACTTTGCCAGGGGCAAGGACTGGTGCTCGGACTGTGCATGATGGTGGAGCATTGAGGGAGCGTGAGCTCTTGCTTCCCTGGTGATAGGGTGGACCTAGCTTGAATCCCCCTACTGGACACCTCTGGCCTTGCCACACCCTTCCGATCAGGAAAGAGTAAAGACGTCCTTCAGACAAGCAAGCGATGCTATTTCTGCTGCCATCAATTAGGGTTCAATAAGTGGGTGTAAAGAGGCTGCTGGACAAAGGCATTCATCCGGGATGAAATTGATGGGGCTTGGTCCTGCCGCGAGGGCAGGGGTCTGGACTTGATGACCCTCCAGGTCTCTTCCAGTTCGAGTGTTCTGTGATTCTATAAGACTGTGAGTCTTGGAGGAGTTGCCCAGGGAGTGAGCAGCAGTGGGCAATAAAAACACTTAGCAGGGAACTTCTATGTCTGGTGTCCCTGGGTTGGGATCCACTCGTGTGGGAGGGGCTAGAGGCAACCTTGGCTCCTTGGAGCACCAAAAGGAAGCAGGAAAGAACCCTGGTCCCAGGCATAACATAAGAACATAAGAATGGCCGTATGGGTCAGACCAATGGTCGATCCAGCCCAGTAGCCTGTCTGCCCACAGTGGCCAGCATCAGGTGCCCCGGAGGGGGTGGACTGAAGACAATGATCAAGCGATTTGTCTCCTGCCATCCCTCTCCAGCTTCTGACAAACAGAGGCCAGGGACACCATTTCTATCCCCTGGCTAATAGCCTTTTATGGACCTAACCTCCATGAAATTATCGAGCTTCTCTTTAAACTCTGTTATAGTCCTAGCCTTCACAGCCTCCTCTGGCAAGGAGTTCCACAGGTTGACTACACGCTGTGGCTGTGTCTACACTGCACCTCTTTTCCGGAAAAGGGATGCAGATGAGACAAGTCAGAATTGCAAATGCGTCGGGGATTTACATTTTCCCCGCTCCATTTGCATGAACATGGCTGCCGCTTTTTTCCGGCTCGGGGTTTTGCCGGAAAAAAGCACCAGTCTAGACAGGGATCTTTCGGAAAATAAAGCCTTTTCCGAAAGGTCCCTTATTCCTCTTAAAATCAGGAGACCGGCAGACAGAGGATTGGCCAGCAGAAGCCTGCTTGGTGTCACTCGAGAACCACACTCGAGTTCGATAGTTCTCACGGGTGGAGGTGTTTTACTAACCTGTTGCGAACGTGTGTAATTGCTTGAGACTAAGTAAAGTTTAGCTTTAAGTGAAAGAATTCTTGTGTTGTCCTGTTTGTACCATCCTTCTATTGGTCGGATGACTGTGTCTTCCCTGGATTATTTCCTGACACTACCAGAGAGTAAAAGTTACCGAGAGTTTTTGATGGAAAGAACCGCAGCTAACAGTGGAACAGTGTGTGTGACTGCCTGTCTATGTATCTCTATGATAAGTGTTTTCTCATTGTATTTGCAATAAACATGGTGTACTGCCTTTTCCCCCTGTAACAGAGTCCACCCTTTGCGAGTGCCCTCAGTGACTTAGGGTGTCGGGTAAGTCTTTTGCCTTGCCGTTTGGCACTTGGTAGCTCCCTGGCTCACTTCCCCTGGAGGCTGCTTTGTCTGGTCATCACAAGGTTCTGAGGTCAGGATCTTACTAGCTCTGTCGGCGGTGCTATGAGTTCTTATATTCAGCTCGTGGCCAGATGTCAGCCACTGGACATGGGCCTCCCCCAGCTCTAGAGTTCAGCTTACACTCATAGACTCATAGACTTTAAGGTCAGAAGGAACCATTATGATCATCTAGTCTGACCCCCTGCACAACACTGGCCACAGAATCTCACCCACCCACTTCTAGAATAATCCTCTCACCTATATCTCAGATACTGAAGGCCTCAAACGATGGTTTAAAGACCCAAAGATTCAGAGAATCCTCCAGCAAGTGACCCGTGCCCATGCTACAGAAGAAGGTGAAAAACCTCCAGGGCCTCTACCAATCTACCCTGGAGGAAAATTCCTTCCCAACCCCAAATATGGCAATCAGCTGAACCCTGAGCATGTGGGCAAGACTCACCAACCAGACATCCAGAAAAAAGTTCTCTATAGTAACTCCTATCTTCCCACCATTGGCCTATTTACTATTGATCGTGAAAGGTCAATTAATTGCCAAGATCATGTTATCCCATCAACCATCCCCTTCATAAGACCATCTAGCTTAATCTTGAAGCCAGATAGGTCTTTTGCCCCTGCTACTTCCCTTGGAAGGCTGTTCCAGAACTTCTCTCCTCTGATGGTTAGAAACCTTCGCCTAATTTCGAGTTTAAACTTCCTAATAGCCAACTTATATCCATTTGTTCTTGTGTCCACATTAGTACTGAGCTTAAATAGTTCCTCTCCCTCCCTGGCATTTATCCCTCTAATATATTTAAAGAGAGCATTCATATCTCTCCTCAGCCTTCTTTTGGTTAAGGTAAACAAGCCAAGTTCCTTGTGTCTCCTTTCATAAGACAGGTTTTCCATTCCTCGGATCATCCTAGTGGCCCTTCTTTGTACCTGTTCCAGTTTGAATTCATCCTTCTTAAACGTGGGAGACCAGAACTGCACACAGTATTCCAAATGAGGTCTCACCATTGCCTTATATAATGGCACTAACACCTCCTTATGTCTACTGTAAATACCTTGCCTAATGCATCCCAAAACCTTATTAGCCTTTTTCATGGCCATGTCACATTGGCGGCTCATAGTCATCCTGTGATCAACCAGGAGTCCAAGGTCCTTCTCCTCTTCCGTTACGTCCAACTGAAGTGTCCCCAGCTTATAACTAAAATTCTTGTTATTAATCCCTAAATGCATAACCTTACACTTCTCACTATTAAATTTCATCCTATTACTATTACTCCAATTTACAAGATCATCCAGATCTTCCTGTATGATATCCCGATACTTTTCTGAATTTGGCAATACCTCCCAACTTTGTGTCATCTGCAAACTTTATTAGGACACTCCCACTTTTAGCGCCAAGGTCAGTAATAAAAAGATTAAATAATAATGGTCCCAGAACTGATCCCTGAGGAACTCCACTAGTAACCTCTCTCCAGCCTGACAGTTCACCTTTCAGTATGACTCGCTGTAGTCTCCCCTTTAACCAGTTCCTTATCCACCTCTCAATTTTCATATTGATCCCCATTCTTTCCAATTTAACCAATAGTTCCCCATGTGGTACTGTATCAAAGGCCTTACTGAAATCGAGATAGATTAGATCCACTGCATTTTCTTTATCTAAAAAATCTGTTACTTTCTCAAAGAAGGAGATCAGGTTGGTTTGGCACGATCTACCTTTTGTAAAACCGTGTTGTAATTTGTCCCAATTGTCATTAACCTCAGTATCCCTAACTACTTTCTCCATCAAAATTATGCGGGAGGATTCTCTGCATACTGCAGATGTCAAACTAACAGGCCTGTAGTTACTCAGGTCACTTTTTTCCATTTTCTTAAAAATAGGAACTATATTAGCAATTCTCCAGTCAAATGGTACAACCCCTGAGTTTAGAGATTTATTACAATTTTTTGCTAATGGACTTGCAATTTCATGTGCCAGTTCCTTTAATATTCTTGTATGAAGATGATCTGGGCACCCTGATTTACTTCCATTAAGATGTTCGAGTTTGACTTCTACCTCGGATTTGGTAATATCTACCTCCATATCCTTATTCCCATTTGTTCTGTTGCCATTATCCCTAGCTCTTCATTAGCCTCATGAAAGACTGAAGCAAAGTATTTGTTTAGATATTGGGCCATGCCTAGATTATCCTTAACCTCCACTCCATCATCAGTGATTAGCAGTCCCACTACCTCTTTCTTTGTTTTTTTCTTATTTATATGGCTATAAAACCTTTCACTATTGGTTTTAATTCCCTTTGCAAGGTCCAACTCTACATGACTTTTAGCCTTTCTCACTTTATCCCTACATGCTCTAACCTCAATAAGGTAGCTTTCGTTGCTGATCCCTCCCATCTTCCACTCCTTATATGCATTCTGCTTTTTCTTAATCACCTCCCTGAGATGCTTGCTTATCCAATTTGGTCTACATCACCTGCCTATACATTTTTTCATCTTTCTTGGGATACAGGCTTCTGATAGCTTCTGCAACTTTAACTTAAAATAATCCCAGGCCTCCTCCACCTTTAGATCCATAAATTCTTTAGTCCAATCCACTTCCCTAGCTAATTTCCTTAATTTACTAAAGTTAGCCCTTTGGAAATCAAAAACCCTCGTCTCAGATTTATTTTTGTTTATCCTTCCATTTAGTTTGAACTGACTTAGCTCATGATCGCTTGAGCCAAGGTTGTCCCCTACAACCATTTCTTCTATGAGGTCCTCCCTACTCACCAAAACCAAATCTAAAATGGCTTTCCCCCTTGTTGGTTCAACAACTACTTGATGAAGGAATTCATCAGCTATCACATCTAGGAAAATCTGAGCCCTATTATTATTACCAGTACTTGTTCTCCAGTCTGTGTCTGGAAAGTTGAAATCTCCCATGATTACACAGTTTTCATTAGTATTTACTTCTTTAAAAACATTAAAGAGGTATCTATCTGTTTCCAGATTAGATCCCGGTGGTCTATAGCACACCCCAAACACTATCCTAGGGGAGGATCTAATAGTTTTCTTACCCAATGTGATTTTTGCCCAGACAGACTCTGTCTTCTCCATTCCTTCACTTCTTAATTCTTTGCAATCTACCTCTCGGAGCTGTCCGCAGTGCTGCCGTTCTCCCCCTCACTACGTAGATCTGCCTGGGCTGAGCTCCTATGAGGAACTGCCAGGCCCTAGCCTCGCAGCTTTTTTTAAACTTCTTTGTTGGGCCCTGATTGCCAAGCTCTCCAGCCCGTAGGAGAGAGCCTCTCACTAGGAAGGGGTATGGCCAGGCCTCCAGCCAACTGTACGGTGCATCGGGACGTGCTTCACCCCATAAATGACCCTTCCCCCCAAAGATCCCATGTACCTCCTAGACGCAAAACACAATTGCTTCGTAGAAGAACGGCTACTTTTCCAATACATAACTTGGTTTCTGGTATTGCTACCCCAGCTCATCATCTCAAGAAGTGGCTTTTACCTGTGAAAGCTCATGATAATTTAAAGAAATATGCGTTGCTCTTTAAGGAGCCACAGGACTAAAGCTTTTTAGATATATATTCAAGTTTGTGGGGTGTTCACAGTTGCTACTTTCATGAAGGTGAAAGAAAGATCCATCAACATTTTTCACCATGTAATAAGACAGGCAAGTCTAGTTACTCACACTCAGAGATTGACGAACGGACGCAGCAAGAATTTAAAAGCCACATTTTCATATCGGCCCATTAGCGCTCGGAACGAGTGACGGCTTTTAAAAACGCTGCCTCTGGAGAGTTTGACTGAGTAGAGGAAACTGCATGTTGTCGAGACTGGAGGATTTCTATCCTTCAAACAATTCCTCCATTCTTCAAGGAATATCCTCATGGATCATGGGAAGAGAAATTAAAGTTGCAAAGAAACATTCTTCTTTTTAAAACAATTTGTATTGATGATGCAGAGAAGGACAGGCAGGCCCAGGAATGAAGAATTTATTTCCCTTTCCTTTGAGCATCAGCAAGCATTGGCACATCATATAGGTTCTGTATCTGTATGATGCTAATATCCCCATGTCTGGGAGTGGGGAGACTCCGGCCCCTCAGCCCTAAGTACCAAACAATAGAAAAGACTTTGAATTGCAAAGCTCTACTCATCCCTGACATAACTGTCTCACTGCCCTAGCACGGTGCGATGGAAATCACCTCTCTCCTCCTCATGCCAAGACACAAAGCAGGGCACAATTGGTACAAGAACTCTACAGAGCACAGAAAGGAATAAAGAGTAGCAGGAAAATGCAAAAACTCCCTTTGGTTCACCCATACATTTCAGACACATCACCCTTGGAACTGCCCAATGGAATCAAAAGCGCTAGAAAGAAAAGGGGCTAGATTTGATGTCCCCCCTCATCCTAGGACAGTCAGAGCCCCGTTTTGAAAGTACATCACCTAGATTTTTATACCCACATAGAGGCAATAACCGAATGCAGCCCTGATCTCAGGGGGGACCTGCAGCCCTTGTTGAAATACAGACACATGTACAGTAACAAGATAATAATGAACAATACCACCATGGGCGCTTCAAAATGACATGATTGTAGAGAGGGAACTGAATTCATCTGCTTCCACTGCCCGTCACTCATCCAGCCCTGGGATGAGCACAATCAAGATTTGGTTCCCAGTTTATTCTTTGCTTTCCTCACAGCGTCCTTCACCTCCCTGTTCCTCAGGCTGTAGATGAGGGGGTTCAACATGGGGATGGCTACCGAGTAAAATACGGAGGCTGTTTTACCCACGGCTATGGAACTGCTGGAGATGGGAAGGAAACACAAGGAGAGTTGCGTGCCATGAAACATGCCCACCGCACAGAAGTGGGAAGCGCAGGTGGAGAAGGCTTTGTACCGGCCCTCGGCAGAGCGGATCTGCAGAATGGTGGAGATGATACAGATATAGGAGAGAAGAATGGTCACAAGGCTGATCGCTACAATGTAGCACATGGAAGCAAGTAGAGCAATCTGAGCGGTACGGATGTCAGAGCAGGAGAGGGTCAGCAGTGGCAGGAAGTCGCAGTAGAAATGATTGATGATGTTGGAGTGGCAGAATGACAGTCGAAACGTAAAACACGTCAGTATCAGTGAATCCACCAACCCCACAGCAAACACCCCAGCCACTAGGAGGTTACAGCGCTGTCTGGACATGATGACTGTATAGAGCAGTGGGTTACAGATGGCCACATAACGGTCGTACGCCATCACAGCCAGCAAGAGACACTCAATATCTACACAATGAACAAAGAAATACATTTGCACAGCACAGGCAGTGCGAGAAATGCTTTTCCTCTCAGCTAAGAAAATCTGCATTATTTCAGGAACAATTACTGAGGAATAGCAGAGATCAGAGAAAGATAAAATTCGGAGGAAAAAGTACATGGGGGTGTGGAGTTTTGAGTCAATTGTGATTAACAGAATCATCCCCCCGTTTCCCACTAGGGTGATAACATAAATCAGTAAGAACAACAGAAACAGGGGGACCTGCAACTCTGGACGGTCTGTTAGTCCTGAGAGTATGAACTCAGTCGCCTCTGAGTGATTTCCCTCTTCCATCTCCTCTGAACCAAGAACAAGCAGGTCCAGCGATGTGGGCTGGTGGATGGATACGGGAATGTGTCCTTTCACTGTTATGAAGTAAGTGATGAAAAATGGAGGTCAGTTTTTTACTAGGTTGCAGTACGACATCAGGGAAGGGTTTAGTTCATAGAGGTCAGTTTTTATAGGTAGCCCTCCTTGGGCAAGGGAAGCTCTGTGCCTTGTCATGTCGATTTGGGGTTAAACTTGCTCATTTTGATAATGAGGCACTTTGGCATCTGATAACATTTATAATACTCTGCATAAAACGCTGAGACGTAAAGACAGGAAGGCACCGGCTTCTGTGACTAACTAATCACCTATTTTTTCCAAGCAAATTTCTCATCCTTCAGCTCAATAGGCAGGACCTGGGACTTCAGTCAGAGACACTGTTCATGTGGGTGTGTGACTCTGACACAGGACAAGAGCACGTACCTGCGGACAGCAGAGAGAGACGTGGCGGCGTTTCTCCATCAATTGAAACTAACACTTTGGTGCAATTGGAAGGTTTTATTCTGAGATCTGTGATCTGTGGGACAAGATCGCTGGAGCCACTGGGAATGCCTGAGTGCAGAGAGATACAGCAACAAATTAATGAGCTCAGTGAATCTCAGCCATGGGACTGATACCCTGGGGATTAATTTGGTGCCTTTTTTCCTCCTGGGGCAGTAAGTGATGCAATTTGTATCAGGGTTGCAGAGTCCAAGCCTGAGGGTTATTTCATTCTGCTCTTGTCACGTCAAGCAGGGTCCTGTGTAGAGCTGACCCAGAAAGGGTGTTTGGTGCGACCAACACCTTTCAGCTGAAAACTTAAAATTTCAACTCAGGAACACAACATACGGGGTTACCGCAGGTATCACATCCCACCCTTCTCTGCCCTGGGCCAGGCTCCCAGGCTGGAACCCATCCCTCTGATGCATGATGGTCTGTTCTCCTGCCATACTGCCCTGGGACATCACTAGAGTTCTTACCATACTGTGACTGAGGAATTTGCTGTTGTGATAGGATAGAATTCCATGGAAATCTAATTGAAATGAAAATCCAACTTCGGCCTTAAAAAAATTCTTAAATAGAAAAAATGTACAGCCGGCCTGTGTGCCAGGATTGGAAACCAAAGAACAAAAAGGCCTGTCTCCAGATGTGATCAGCCTGACTTCCAGTTTGTCGGGAACGAGGACTGGTACTCAGGCTGTGCACGATGGTGGAGATTTGAGGTAACGTGAGCCTTTTCCTCCCATCGGTGATGGGGTGGAACTAGCTCGAAGCCCCCTACTGGACATCTATGGCCTTGCCACACCCTTCCTGACAGGAACGAGCAAAGAGATTCCTGCAGGCAAGTAGAGAGGCTACTTTAACTGCAGCCAATCAGGGTTTTCTCTCAAAATAACCGCATCTACACTCTCTGGAGCTCACACCGGTTAGCCCCAAGGATGGACTTGGAAGGCAGCGGTACCTAAGACAGCTCCGATTTCCTTCTGGTTTCAGCCTGAAGCCCAGGTCCCATGGCTGAGAACTTGACTTGCTGGGCTATAGCGATTTCTAGAACTCTGGACAGGGTATGGTGAGGACTTTATTTTAAAGCCCTGACAGAGGCCAAGGACAGGGCATCTTCTGATGCTGATGAAAGATGCCTCCCATAGTGAATTCTAGTGGGAATGGTGCAAGTTCACAAGATAAAATTTAAAAAGAAAATGTTAAAAATTACTTAGAAAAGTTAGACGTCCTCAAGTCGCCAGGGCCTGATGAAATGCATCCTAAAATACTCAAGAAACTGATAGAGGAGGTATCTGAGCCGTTAGCTATTATGTTTGAAAAGTCATGGAAGACGGGACAGATTCCAGAAGTCTGGAAAAGGGCAACTCTAGTGCCCATCTATAAAAAAGGAACAACCCAGGAAAAGACAGGCCAGTGAGTTTAACTTCTGTGCCAGGGAAAGATAATGGAGTAAGGAATTCCTCTCGAAATAGCTGGGATATAATAAGGTGATAGGTGACTGTGAGCACGGATTTGTACAGAACAAATATCAAACCAAGCTGACAGCTTTCTTCAATTGACTCACAAAGGAAGAAATGGTGGACCTGGTATACCTAGTCTTTAGTAAAGCATTTCACATAGTCTCAGATGACCTTCTTATCAGTAAACAACGGCAATGCAACCTGGATGGGGCTACTATAAGGCGGGTGCATAACTGGCTGGATAACCCTTCTCAGAGAGTAGTTACTAACTGTTCACAGTCATGCTGGAAGGGCATAACAAGTGGGGTTCTACAGGGGTTTGTTTTGGGACCAGTTCTGTTCGATATCCTCCACAACCATTTAGATATTGGTATACAGAGTGCGCTCATTACATTTGCAGATGATTCCAAGCTGGGAGAGGTTGCTTAGGTTCTTTGGAGGATGACAGGTCAGTAAATCTATTGTCAGCACTGGGCAAATTAGTTGGAACAATAGGGATATGTCTTCACTAGCCCCCTAGTTCGAACTAGGGAGGCTAATGTAGGCATTTGAAGCTGCAAATGAAGCCCAGGATTTAAATATCCTGGGCTTCATTTGCATCTTCCCGGGTGCCACCGTTTTTAAATGTCCCTTAGTCCGAATTACGTGCCCGCGGCTACACATGGCACGGAGTAGGTAGTTTGAATTAGGATCTCTAATTTGAACTAATGGTACACCTCGTTCCATTTTTTATTTGTCTGCCCTCCCTGATGCATTGGATTCCTTTATATGTGGCTCTTTGTCTGCTCTTGCCCATGGTTTGTCCTCTCCTCTCCTCTCTTTGGGTATGTCTACACTACCCCCCTAGTTCGAACTAGGGGGGTAATGTAGTCATTCAGAGTTGCAAATGAAGCCCGGGATTTGAATTTCCCAGGCTTCATTTGCATGATGCCGGCCGGCACCATTTTTAAATGCCGGCTAGTGCGGACCCCGTGCCGCGCGGCTACATGCAGCACAGACTAGCTAGTTCGGGTTAGGCTTCCTATTCCAAACTAGCTGTACACCTCGGGGTGCCTAATCCGAAGTAGCTAGTCCGTGCCGCGTATAGCCGCGCGGCACGGGGTCCGAACTAGCCGGCATTTAAAAATGGTGCCGGCCGGCATCATGCAAATGAAGCCCGGGAAATTCAAATCCTGGGCTTCATTTACAACTCCAAATGACTACATTACCCCCCTAGTTCGAACTAGGGGGGTAGTGTAGACATACCCTCAATGGCTGTGTCTAGACAGGCACATTTTTCCGCAAAATCATCTGATTTTGAGGAAAAACTTGCCAGATGTCTACACTGGCTGCTTGAATTTCCGCAAGAACACTGACGATCTCATGTAAGATCATCTGTGTTCTTGCGGAAATACTGTGTTGCTCCTGTTCGGGCAAAAGCCCTTTTGTGCAACTCATTTGCGCAAGAGGGCCAGTGTAAACAGCACAGTACTGTTTTGTGCAAAATAGCCCCAATGGCTAAAATGGCGGTCGGGGCTTTTTTGTGCAAAACTGCATCTAGATTGGCCACGGACGCTTTTCCGCAAAAAGTGCTTTTACGGAAAAGCATCCTGCCGATCTAGACGCGATTTTCCGAAAATGCTTTTAACGGAAAAGTTTTCCGTTTAAAGCATTTCCGGAAAATCATGCCAATGTAGACGTAGCCAATATGTTTGATGCTGTATACTCTGCCAGAGCATCTGGAAGTAGAAATAGATTTACATGTTAAGGGTTCCCATTGTGTTTGTAGTTCTACAGTAGCTATTGTAACATAACAGAGAGGGAAAATGTCGTGATGTGCTCTTGTGAAATTTGGTTTGCTACGTTTGTTATGTGTGAGAGGACACAATGTGTGGGAGAGAAGGGTGAAGAACATCACCGGACCAGAGATGCTAATGGGAGGATCCAACTGTGGAGAAAGCAGCGTCGCAGATGAGTGCATGTCAATCTGCGCTATTTAGATATTCCAGGACACCGAGGGACAGGGCGAGCATTTAACAACTGGGACAAGATATTTGTGATTTCAGTCAGCTTAGCCTGGCAGCACAAAAAAGAGAAGAAGCAAGGGAAACAGCAGGTGACTACAACTTCCCTCAGAAAAATAGCATGACAGTGCAAAACTCCCTGACCCCAGTGATTGAAAACTGCTATGGAAAGAAGGTGCTTTGCCATAATTTTGGGTTACATCCTGCCAAAGACTTTGTATGGAACCTGGTTGCTCCTCGACATGGACTGGTGGGACAGTGTGTATTTGTCTGTCTATGTCTGCATATGATAACTGCTTTGCCATTGTATTCTCAATAAACCCCCTATTACACAGTCCACCATGTGTGGGTGCTCCCTGTGGCTGAGAGATGTGCGGTAAGTTCTTTGCCTGGCCGTTCGGTAGCTCCCCGGCTCAGGAGTCTGCCCTGTCTGGTCATCACAAGGACCTGAGGCCACGATCTCAGTAGCTCTGTCCGCAGTGCTATGAGTTCTTGTATTCAGCTTGTGGCCAGACTTCAGCCACTGGACCTGGGCCTCCCCCAGCTCTAGAATTCAGCTTACACGTGGAGCTGTCCGCAGTGCTGCTTTTCTCCCCATCAGTTTATAGAGGTGCCTGGGTCGAGCTCCTGTGACGGGCTGACAGGCTGTAGCCCAGGAGTACCTTTTAGACTGGTCTGCTGGGCCCTGATTCGCTGATGCCTCCATCCTGGAGGACCTCTCTTCTAGTCTTCTCACTAGGATGGTGTGTGGCAATGTGTCTGGCCAACTGTACAGGATGTCAGGGCCTAGTCCACCCCATAACCAACCCTAGAGCCCCCAAAGATCCCATGTGCTTCCTAGAAGCAAAACACAATTGCTTTGTAGAAGAACGGCTACTTTTCAAATACCTAACTTGGTTTCTGGTATTTCTACCCCAGCTCATAATCTCAAGAAGTTGGTTTTACCTGTGAAAGCTCATGATAATTTAAAGAGAGATGTGTTACCCTTTAAGAAGCCACAGGACTATATCATTTTAAATATAGTCAAGTTTGTGAGGTACTCACGGTTGCTACGTTGATGAGGGTCATAGAAAAATCCATCAACATTTTTCACCCTTTAATAAGACAGATTGGTCTAGCTACTTGCTCTCAGAGATGGGTAAGGGGGCCACATTTTTATACCTGCCGATTAGCACTCTGAATTAGTGACTGCTTTTGGAAACACTGCCTCTGGATAGTTTGACTGGAGTAGGGGTAACTGCATGTTGTCGAGACTGGCAGATTTCCTTCGTTCAAACAATTCCTCCATAATTTAAGGAATATCTTCATGGACCATGGGAAGTGACAATAAAATTGCAAACCCACATTCTTCTTTGAACACATTTTACTGGTGATGCCGAGAAGGACAGGAGAGCCCAGGACTGAAGCAAACTCCTGGCACATCATATAGTTTCTGTAATTTTATCAAGATCCCCATGTCTGGTAATGGGGAGACTCCAATCCCTCAGCCCATGGGTGACAAGCAATTGAAAGGGCTTTGAAATGCAAAGCTGAACTCATCACTGACATAACTGTCCCACTGCCCTAGCACGGTGTGATGGAAATCATGTCTCTCCTCCTCGTGCCTGGACTCAAAGCAGGGCACAATTGGTACAAGAACTCCACAGAGCACAGAAAGGGATACAGAGTAGCAGGAAGCAGCGAAAACTCCCTTTGGTTCACTCACAGAAATCACACACTTTATCCTTGCAACTGCCCGATGAAATCAACACGGCTGGAAAGAAGAGGGAGCTAGATTTGATGCCCCTCTTCTTTCTCAATGCAGTCAGCTTCCAGTTTTCAAAGCACATCACCTAGATTGTTATGTGCACACTAAGGCAATATTTGAAAGAAGACCTGACCTCAATGGGGACCTGCAGCCCATGTTGTAGTGCAGACACATGTACAATAACAACATAATAACCAAGAATACCACCATGGGCTGTGTGAAATGACATCACTATGCACTGCAAACTCAATTGTCCTGTTTCCCCTGCCCATGGGTCAACCTGCTCTGTGATGAACAGATTCAAGACTGAGTTAGGAGTTTATTGATTACTTTCCTCAGGGCGTCCTTCACCTCCCTGTTCCTCAGGCTGTAGATGAGGGGGTTCATCATGGGGATCACCAGAGAGTAAAACAGTGAGGCTATTTTGTCGGTGTCCATGGAATAGCTGGAGGGGGGACGTAAGTACATGAAGATTTGGGGGCCATGAAACATAACCACTGCGCACAAGTGGGAAGCGCAGGTGGAGAAGGCTTTGCACCGGCCCTCGGCAGAGCGGATCCGCAGGATGGTGGAGAAGATGCAGACGTAGGACAGGAGGATGGCCACAGCACTGCTGACTATAATGTAGCAAGTGGAAGCAAACATCACAATCTCTTTGGTGCGGGTGTCAGAGCAGGAGAGCGCCACCAGTGGGGGGGTGTCACAATAGAAATGCCTGATGATGTTGGAGCGGCAGAATGACAGCCGGAATGTAAAATATGTCAGTATTAGTGAATCCGCCAATCCCACAGCGCACACCCCAGCCACCAGCAAGTTACAACGCTGTCTGGACATGGTAACTGTATAATGCAGCGGGTTACAGATGGCCACATAACGGTCATACGCCATCACAGCCAGCAAGAGACACTCAATATCTACACAAAAAAGAAAGAGATACAATTGCACAGCACAGGCAGTGCGAGAAATAGTTTTCTCCTCAGCTAAGAAAATTTGCAGCATTTTAGGGGCAATCACTGTGGAACAGCAGAGATCACAGAAAGACAGACTCCTGAGGAAAAAGTACATGGGGGTGTTTAGTCTGGAGTCAACTGTGATTAAGAAGATCATCCCTCCATTTCCCGCCAGGGAGATCACATAAATCAGTAGGAACACTCCAAAGAGAGGGGCCTGCAACTCGGGACGGTCTGTCAATCCTGAGAGAATGAACTCAGTAGCTTCCGAGTGATTTCCCTCTTCCATCTTCTCTGAGCAAAGATCCAGCAGCTACAGGGTTGTGTGCAGGTGGATGGCTCAGGGAACCTGTCCCTTTGCTGTAATGAAGTAAGTGATGAAAAGTGGAGGTCAGTTTCTCAACAGGTAGCAGTACTAGATGAGGAAAGGGCTTAGACCACCGGGCCATTAGTTTACAGCTGTTCATTCTATTTCTTTGGTCAGTTTCACATACTGCACACAGAGACGGACACACAGGTTATTCATACTCCTCACACAAACACTCCTGTTCGCTATACTAAGCAGCAAACAACAACTTGTTACTTTGGTGTGGGTGAATCAGGGTGAAAATCATCTCCGTTTAATGAGATCATTGCTTAGCTCAAGAAGGGCTGAGAGTAAATGACCCTCAGTGGGTAAGAGGAACTCGGTGGCTCGGCATATAGATTTGGGCTGTAACTTGTTCATTGTGATAATGAATCTCTTTGGCATCTGAGAACGGTATTTACATTACTCAGTATAAAACCCCTGAGACGTAAAGACAGGAAGGCACTGGCTTCTTTAACTAACGAATGGCCTATTTTTTCCAAGCAAATTTCTCATCCTTTAACTCAGTAGGCAGGAGCTGGGACTTCTCTAGGATACACTGTCTGTGTGGGTATGTGACTCTGATACAGGACAACAGCACGTACCTGCAAACAGCAGAGAGAGACGTGGCGGCATTTCTCCATCAATAGAAACTGACACTTTGGTGCAATTGGGAAGTTTTATACTGAGATCTCTGATCTATGGGACAAGATCCCTGGAGCTACTTGGAACACCTGAGCTCAGAGAGACAAAACAACAAATTAATGAGCTCAGTGAATCTCCGCCATGGGACTGATACCCTGGGGGTTCATTTGGCACCTTCTTTCCCCCCTGTCAGTAAATGATGCAATTTCTATCAGAGTTCCAGAGTCCAAGCCTGAGGGATATTTCATTGTCTGCTTGTCACTGCAAGGTGGGCCCTGTGTAGAGCTGACCCAGAAAGGGTGTGTTTGTGGAGACCCACATCTTTCAGCTGACAACTTAATATTTCAGCTCAGAAACAAAACACGCAGAGATGCCCCAGGTACCACATCCCACCCTACTCTGCCATGGGCCCGGCTCCCCAGCTGGACTCCATCCCTTCTGATGCATGATGGTCTGTCCTCCTGTGGAACTGCCCTGTGACATCACTAGGGTTCCTGTTCTTGCCAGTCTATGTCTGTGGGATTTATTGTTGTGAAGGAAAACAATTCCATGGAAATTGAGTGAAAATCCAATTTCCTACTTAAAAAAATCTTGTAAAGAAAAAATTTCTAAACAGCCTGAACAGCGGGTTTAGAAACAAAGGAACAGAAAAGACCCATCTCCAGATGTGGTCGGCCTGACTTCAGTTTGCCAGGGGCAAGTACTTGAGCAGGGGCTGTGCATGATTGTAGAGATTTGGGGGAGTGTGTCCTTTTACATGCCCCTGTTACAGCCTGGACTTGACTCATAGACTCATAGACTTTAAGGTCAGAAGGGACCATTATGATCATCTAGTCCGACCCCCTGCACAGGGCAGGTCACAGAATCTCACCCACCCCTCCTAGAATAATCCTCTCACCTATAGCTCAGATATTGAAGCCTTCAAATACTTTGAAGACCCCAAGATGCAGAGAATCCTCCAGCTGTGATCTGTGCCCCATGCTACAGAGGAAGGCGAAAAACCTCCAGGGTCTCTGCCAATCTACCCTGGAGGAAAATTCCTTTCCAACCCCAAATATGGCGATCAGCTAAACCCTGAGCATGTGGGCAAGACTCACCAGCCAGACACCCAGAACCTTCTGCTGTAGGCTAGTGTCCTGGACACTTCTTCCCTGGGCCAAAGAGCAGATGTGGGGTCCTCCAAGGATGCTGAAGATGCTGCTTCTTTTTCAGCCAATCAGGGTCCAGGAAGCCTAAGTAAAGAAGCCACTGGACCACAGCCTGGCACTTCCTCTCTGGAGCTCAAGCCAGAGAGACCCAGGGATGGACTAGGAAGGCTCCGGTACCTTGGACAGCTTCGAGTGGGAGCTGGTTTCCAAATTCAGCTGATGCTCAAGTCTGGTGGCTGAAAACCAGCTGTGTTGAGCTACTGTGAATCCTGGACAGGGTGCAGTGAGGACTTTATTTCAGATCCCGGAAAGAAAGCAAGGAGAGGGCATCTTCTGATGATGATGATGATGAAGGGATGTCTCACATAATGAATGCTAGTGGGAATGGGGTTGGTGTAAAAGATAAAATAAAAAAGAACAAGTTAAAAATCACTAGAAAAGTTGATGCCTGCAAGTCACCAGGGCCTGATTAAATGTGTCCTAGATGTGATAGAGGAGGTATCTGAGCTTTTAGCTGACATCTTTGAAAAATCATGTAAATCGGGAGAGATTCCAGAAGATCAAAAAAGGCCAAATCTAGTGCTCATCTGTAAAAAGGGAAAGAACAACCAAGAAAACTATAGACCAGTCAGTTTAAATTCTGTGCCAGGGAAAGATAATGGAGCAAGTAATTAAGGAATTAATCTGCAAACATCTGGAAGAAAATAAGGTGATAGGGAACAGCCAGCATGGATTTGTAAAAAACAAATCATGTCAAACCAATCTGATAGCTTTCCTTGATAGGAGAAGAACTGTTGTGACCAAGGGTGAGGTGCTGGATGTGGTATGAGAACAGAAGAACATAAGAACGGCCATAGCGGGTCAGACCAAAGGTCTATCCAGCCCAGTAACCTGTCTGCCGACAGCGGCCAATGCCAGGTGCCCCAGAGGGAGTGAATCCAACAGGTAATGATGAAGTGATCTGTCTCCTGCCATCCATCTCCATCCTCTGACAAACAGGCTAGGGACACCATGCCTTACCCATACTGGCTAATAGCCATTTATGGACCTACCCTCAATGAATTTATGTTCTCTTTTAAACCCTGTTATAGTCCTAGCCTTTACAACCTCCTCTGGCAAGGAGTTCCACAGATTGACTATGCGCTGTGTGAAGAAGAACTTCCTTTTATATGTTTTAAAGCTGCTGCCCATTAGTTTCATTTGGTGGCCAATAGTTCTTAAATTATGGGAATAGGTAAAAATGGTTCCTTATTCACTTTTTCCACACCACTCAGGATTTTATAGACCTCTATCATATCCCCCTTTAGTCTCCTCTTTTCCAAGATGAAAAGTCTGAGTCTCATAGACTCATAGACTTTAAGGTCAGAAGGGACCATTATGATCATCTAGTCCGACCCCCTGCACAGTGCAGGCCACAGAATCTCACCCACCCCTCCTAGAATAATCCTATCACCTATATCTCAGATATTGAAGCCTTCAAATACTTTGAAGACCCCAAGATGCAGAGAATCCTCCAGCTGTGATCTGTGCCCCATGCTACAGAGGAAGGCAAAAAACCTCCAGGGCCTCTGCCAATCTACCCTGGAGGAAAATTCCTTCCCGACCCCAAATATGGCGATCAGCTAAACCCTGAGCATGTGGGCAAGACTCATCAGCCAGACACCCAGAACATTCTCTATAGTAACTCCTATCATCCCTCCAATCTCACACACACACAGAGTCTTTTTAATCTCTCTTTGTATGGGGTCCATTCAAAACCCCTAATCATTTTAGTTGCCATTCTCTGAACCTTTTCGAATGCCAAAAAATCTTTTTTAGTAAGGAGACTACATCTGTACACACTATTCAAGATGTGGGTGTACCATGGATTTACATAAGGGCAATAAGATATTCTCCGTCTTATTCTCTATCCATTTTTTAATGATTCCTAACATCCTGTTTGCTTTTTTGACTGCTGCTGCACACTGCATGGACGTCTTCAGAGAACTATCCACGATGACTCCAAGATCTCTTTCCTGATTAGTTGTAGCTAAATTAGCCCCTCTCATATTATATCTATAGTTGGCATTATTTTTTCCAATGTGAATTACTTTACATTTAACCACATTAAACTTCATTTGCCATTTTGTTGTCCAGTCACTTAGTTTGGTGAGATCTTTTTGAAGTTCTTCACAGTTTGCTTCAGTCTTAACCACCTTGAGCAGTTTAGTATCATCTGCAAACTTTGCCACCTCACTGTTTACCCCTTTCTCCAGATCATTTATGAATATGTTGAATAGGATTGGTCCTAGGACTGACCCTTGGGCCGTGTCCACACTCAGGGGTTCTTTCGAAAAAAGTACCCTTTTTTCGAAAGAACTTCCCCTGCATCCAGACTCAAGCCGCGTTCTTTCGAAATTATTTCGAAAGAACGCGGCTTTTCTTTCGATGGCGGTAAACCTCGTTTCACGAGGAAGAACGCCTTCCTTCGAAAGTTCCTCTTTCGAAGGAAGGCGTTCTTCAATGTAAAGAGGCCGTCTTCGAAAGAGAGCATCCAGACACGCTGGGTGCTCTCTTTCGAAAAAGCGGATTTCCTCTATCGAAAGATCCGCCTGCAGTCTAGACGCGATCTTTCGAAAGAGGCTCTTTCGAAAGATGCTTTCGAAAGAGCCTCTTTCGAAAGAAGCCTGCAGTCTAGACACACCCTTGGGGAATACCACTAGTTACCCCTCTTCATTCTGAAAATTTACCATTTATTCTTACCCTTTGTTTCCTGTCTTTTAACCAGTTCTCAGTTCATGAAAGGATCTTCCCTCTTATCCCATGACAACTTAATTTATGTAAGAGCCTTTGGTGAGGGACCTTGTCAAAGCTTTTTGGAAATCTAAGTACACTATATCTACTGGATCCCCCTTGTCCACATGTTTGTTGACCCCTTTAAAGAACTCTAATAGAGTAGTAAGACATGATTTCCTTTTATAGGAACTGTGTTGACCTTTGCCAAACAAATTATGTTCTTCTATGTGCCTGACAATTTTTTTCTTTATTATTGTTTCAACTAATTTGCCCAGTACTGATGTTAAACTAACTGGTCTATAATTGCCAGGATCGCTTCTAGTGCTCTTTTTAAATATTGGTGTTATATTAGCTATCTCCCAGTCATTGGATACA